TCTGATTTTGGAGTATTTGGGGCTGTTCCTGCTGCACCCACCGAGGTCAGTCCCTAGGGAGGGACCCGCTGCAGCCGAACCTCCATCAAGGGCTCTGTGGCTGCTTCATTTAAATTCTCAGATTGCTGTTCAATTTAAATTCTGAACTTTGCAAGAGTTCGGGGCTCGGGTGAGATCCAAGTCACCTCTTCACGGTTCTGATAACCCAGCAGGGCTTTGTGGCTTCCGTAAAATAAACCTTCAGCCCCAGTGTCACCATAAACGTGGCTGGCACGGGCAGATGTGCAGGGAAGGAGTGGAGGAGTTTATTTCCATCTTTATAAACACCAGTAAACACACTTAAAGGCTCCCAGAGGTTGCAAGCAGGTCTCTGATGGCTGCAAATAAATGACAGCTGAGCGTTGCCCTTCAGAAGGTGCTTTAATACCAGCGGGTTTTTATTTTGATGTACCTGAAGTGCTCAGGGAGGAGAGGTGGCTTTTTTTGAGGGCTCAAGTAGTAAGACAGGGTTTGGATGGTGAGGTGGAAAAGCCAAGCCTGGAGCAGCTGTGTTCTCCTTAAAGCAGAGTGAGGATCCCGTGGAAGGAAGGATTAAGGTTTTATCATTTTTCCCTGGAATGTTGTCTTTTTTAACCAGGCCTGCTTCAGAAGCTTAAAGTGACAGAGAGTGGGTTTAGGTTGGATATTGGGAAGAAATTCTTGGCTGTGAGGGTGGGAGGCCCTGGCACAGGTTGCCCAGAGAAGCTGTGGCTGCCCCATCCCTGGAAGTGTCCAAGGCCAGGTTGGAGCAACCTGGGCTAGTGGGAGCTGTCCCTGCCCAGGGCAGGGGGTAGAATGAGATGATCTTTAAGGTCCCTTCCAACCCAAACCACTCTGGGATTCCGTGAAGCTTTAAAAATGCCCTTTGGGGTGGGCTCCTGATGTCGTGATCCCGTCAGGAACTTTCCTCTCCAACCCCTCCTGTGATGTTCCAGGACAAGTCTGGGACAATCTCTGTGTGTGCAGTGGCTGCTGCACCTCCCCAGCCCCGAACAGCTTTTAAATCTTAATTTATAACTCAAGATGTAAAACCTCAACTGGCAGCTTTGAGGAGAAAAATGTCCTTGGGCCTCTTGTGAAACATCTGAAAACTGCTGGAGCACTTTTATCTGGAGCTGAGGAGTCTGCACAGGAGCTTCCCATCCTCCCCACCACTGCAATTTGAGTTTAATATCCCCCTCCCTTGAATTATCCTCATGAAACATTTATTTTAAAATAAACCTAGACTGATTTTTTTCATCGTTTTGGGTGAGAGGGTAAATGGGGGCAGCAGGGTTGTTACCCCTTCCTGCAAAGTGCAGGCTGAGGGTGCTGGATTTTTTGTCAGCAGTTGTGATACTGTTGGAGGTTCTCATTAGTTCACTCCTCATTTGCTATGCAAATTAGGTATTTAAATGCATTTATAGTGCTGTTTAACCCATAGACAAGTATGTAATGCTCAATTCTTAATAAAACTCCTCTGCCTGATGAATTTAACAGTGAATTGGCTGGTTTGCTTTGTTTGCTTGTGTTCAGGAGAGCAAACATGAACTTTGTCAGGGGGAGAGTTTGATCATTACAGTCGTGCAAGAGTGAAAGTCCTGATTCCTTCAGGCTTTCAAAGTCCTGATTCCTTCAGGCCTCCAGCTCTGGGGCTGGGGAGGTCCAGATAAATCTGCTTAGCAAATCACACAGTCCTGCTTGTTTCTGAGGCAAAGCACACATTGGAAAGGATGGATTTATTGGAATTTTATATCCCTCTGAGTGTTTCTGGGTTTTTTTAACCTGGAACTCTTGTGGGTTGATTTTGAGCTGATGTGGCCAAAGTTAATCCCTATTTTAGGGACTGTTGCAAAGGACTCTCAGGTGACACTTGTGCTTGATCGTTCCACCCTTAAGGAAATCTGAATGTCTCAGGTTGAAGAGGATTTAAATCCCCCAAACCTCAGATTTTTGGGGTGAAAAGATCAAATCAGGAGGAGGCAGCGTTGAAATTACCGTGTTGGCAACTGGGCTGAGGAGTGGGGTGGGTTCTTTTCCCATCCAAAGGGAATCCTATTCTTGGTGCTGTGAGACTTAATTTCCCCCAAAGAGAATTTCTGCCTGTCCCTTCCCCCTCCCAGCCCTGGCCCTCGGCGAGGATTGCACATTCCAGCGGTGATATCACATCCCTGGCTCTGGGATCTGAACCGGGAGGGATCGAGCCAATGGAGCCAAATAGCTGCGGGGAGAAGGGATTTACCGGCACAGCGTGTCCTGGGGGACGGGGACAGGGACCCGGGGGACAGGGACAGGGATCCAGGGGACAGGGACAGGGACCCAGGAGATGGAGACAGGCTCTGGGGGAGCCTCTGTGGTGGCCTGTTCGTGGGAAACACTGGAATAACCCCTGTGAGAACGTGAAAGAGCAGAGCAAACGTGCAAAGCAGACCTGCAGGAGTGACAGCCACTTTCCCAGGCTTTAAGGGCAGCTGGTGTAATTCCAGGGCTATAGGGAAAGCCCTGAGTTGCTGATTATTTGACAGGATTTCTTGTGTGGTTGTTCTCCTGTTTAGCTTCGTTTTCCCTCTGTCTTCTGAGCAAAGTGATTTTTTTTTGCCCCCTTTTCTTTTTCTGCAAAACTATCAAAGTGACATTAAAAGCCTCTGGTTTTGACTAATTTCTGGTAGCAGCTCAGAGCTGTCTTTTTATACAGTGTGTACAAATAATTCAGCTGCTTTTATGTATTTATTACAACCAACTTCATTTAATTTGTGTTTAAGTAGTACAGATTATCTAGTCTTTTCTTTCTATAGTTTCAAATGATAAAGTCGTCGTGGACATGCTTTTTCTAGAAGAGAATCCTCTGGAGATGTTAAATATGTTAAACAGCAGGAGGAGCTGGGAGGCTCCTCTGGGATTTCAGGGAAGGGGATGACATGGAGAAACCCAGGGAATGTGGTCAGGAGGGTTTGTCCCATGAAACTCAGTAGTTCACCGAGTGTGTTTTGCTGCCACTTGTCTGATTTAGGGGACCTTTTGTTGTAAATGACCAAGTTTATCCTATCCCAGGGAAAACTTGGGTGAAGGGGCCTTTGGAGGTCACCTGGCTCGGAGCTGGGAATGTCCCCAGCGGACACTAATTGGCAGATTAGTGCTGATGAAGTTCATCAAGTGTATTTATTTACCCTTGCATCATTCCCCAGCCCTTCCCCACTCCAAGGGCTGTCAGCCCTCCTGGCCAGGCCATGCCACAGGGATTAACAGACACTTTAGGAAGGTTCCCTTTGGAAGATTCCCTCAGTGAAAGGGTGTTTTGGCTTAAAAAGAGCCCTGTCAGGTCTGTCAATGAGTTCCTGGCCTGGCCTTTCACTCTGACTCAGCAGCAGAAGTCCCTGCAGTGACTCAGCTCCCCGGGGTTTAATCAGCAGCTGAATAAAAGGTTTGAAGGAAATGCTTTTTGTCATGCAGAGAAATGGGAAGAGGCAGATCTGGATTCCTGATCCAGGAATATCAAGGAGCTGTTATAATCTTGGCCCTGGAAGTACAGTTTTGGCTGAGCTGCTGCAGTTTCTGTTGGCTTTACACAGGGTTTGAGTGCTCTGCTCAGCCTTCAAAGTCAACCTTTCACGCTGTTTTTCCTTTCTTTTAAGTGGTAAATACCTTCTCATCCCTCAATTTATAAGGATTGCTTCCCCATTCCTGACAGCCCAGCTTCTCCAACAGCCTTTTAGTGGGTTTTGTGGGAATTCCCACTGATAGAATTTGAGTTCATAACTCACACACAGCCTGACTTGCAGATGAACTGGATGTTTTGTCCTGTAACACCACGAGTACACAGTTTGTCCCTGCCTGGAATCCTGCTGTTTGATTCCCTGTGTCTGGGCCTGCTGGAATCCCTGGTTCCTACAGTGTCTGACCCCACTGTGAGGTCCTGATCCTGCATTTGTCACATCCATCCATTGCCTGGAAATGGGTCACAGATCAGCATTCTCATGTCACTCAAGTACTGACACAGATGATGGGCTGGGAAAAGCCAACGGAAATCATCTGCAGAGGTGAAAATGTGGGAGAGGAAAATAAGAAATTTAGTCCCAGAAAGTGTTGCACAGTGATGTGAAAAAACACTCCTCAGGGCTTGTTGTATCTTTGGGGTTTCCCTGCAGGATGACTGTGTTCTTGATGCTCTGGCACAAAAAAAAAAAAAGGCATAAAGGACAAAGTGCTGAGTGTTCCTGGGTGTTCCTGAGCCCTCAGTGTGTCTCTGGCTGTTCCCCAGCTCTGGGATTGCAGAGCTGAGTGGGGCTGGGACAGTTTGGAGGCAGCTGAACTGTCATGTGTCCCTTGGCTATTTATATGACTGCCTTTTTCCTCCTCCTCTTCTTAAAAAACCACCTTTTAATTGGAGACTTGGGTTCTTAAATTGTTTTCAGGATTAAGCTTTCAACTCTTACTCTCCTGTGTGGCTGCAGGAGCTGCCAGCATTGGGGTGATAATATGAATACACAACCTATAATATTTTAACAGGTAGTTAAATACACTTTCTGAATTAAAATCTATATGTAGATGACACCTTGCTACTGTACAAACACAAATCTGTAGATTTGCATCTTGTTTGGTGTCTTTTGGGCTGTTTTGGGAAATCGTAGAGCTGAAAGTATTTTGCTAAATGATTCATTTTCCCGGTTGTTTTCTCTTTCCATAGCAATGAATTGCTGGATATTTGTGTGTTGTGTATGTCTCCTCTTGGCTTGTCTGTGGGTTTTAGGGACTGAAACTTCTCCACTTGATCTTGGAAGGGCTCCAGAGTGGCTGCAGGCAGTTGATAAGTCTGAAACTTTCTGTAAGCCACGGGGCTGAGGGTGCCTCGGGCTTGAAAGTGGGGCATAAGGAGATAACACTGCAGACTTCCACAAAACACTTCCCTTGGCAGCTGGGAGAAAACAAAGATAGTGGTGCCCAAGTGAGCTGTGGAGGAGTAACTTTGTTCAGGGTTAGTTGTGACTCCGATTCCTTCCTGCCCTGAGAAAGGCACAGATGTGCAAATAATCTGTATCCAAAACAGGAGAGCTTGGAGAGATTCAGAAGGACTTTTGCAGCTGGATGGGTGAGGAACTGCCATCCTTTCATACTTGGGTTACTGCTTGGCCCTGGCTGCCTTGAACTGTGCCAGATAGTGGAGTGTCACTTCCCTGACCTGGGGGCAAACACACAGGGAATCAGGTTGGAATTGCTGCATTAGTCAGCTGTGAACCAGCAGAATAAGTAGGTCAGGGACTGAGGCAGCACCTGGTGGGACACACGTGGCCTGTACCTCGTGTACAGCTCTGGGCTTGCAAGGGGTTATTGTGATCATAAAATCAAGGCCTTGGTTCTGTTGGGGATTTTTTCTGCTTGGGGGTAAAAAATGTCCAGGTGTGGTTTATGCCGTGGTGACACCAGGGAGGTTACTTTGGTTTTGGGTAGAAATTGAGTTTAGTTGTGCACTTGGAGTAAATAAATCCGTTTAGTCTGGGTATTCCCTGCTCCATGCACAGGGAGTTCCTTATCAGGAAGGACAGGTGGATGAAGGAGCAGAGAGTGACAGGAGCTCTGAGGCAGGATGCTCTTTGTTTTCTCTTCACAGAAAACTATCGAATGAAGAGTTACAAGAACAAAGCCCTAAATCTCGAGGAAATGAGACGGAGAAGAGAAGAGGAAGGAATTCAGCTGCGCAAACAGAAACGAGAGCAACAGGTAACTGTCATCTTGAGTAGGTTGTGTTCAGCCTTAACACAACCAAGATTGTGCTGCTGCCTAACTGGAATCTTCAAGGATCTGTGCATTAAGGTTTGTTGGCAGTCCTCTTATTTTTTTCCTGTTCTAACTGAGATCATGCTTTTCTCTTTTTCTTTGTACCCAGTTCACACCAAGAGCTTTCCAAGCACTTTCTCCTTGGGGTACTGGAGGTTTTTTTGTTCACAGATCCTTGTTGTTAAAGGTGGTGGTGGTTTTTTGGTGGTGTGTTTTGGTTTGTTTTTTTTTTTTTTTAATTAGTGAATGGGATTATTTCCTCGAGAAACAGGAAGAGCAAGTGAAAGTTTGGGCTGTGTGTATTTCTTAACTCTGAGATGTGGGTTTTTTTGGCTTGGAGGTCTATGAAAGCACGAGGTGATGTGTGTGGGACTAAATATTTGCTCTATGAGAACATCACCTACCAGCTGCCTTCTGCCCAGTTTCCCTGACTTGTTAGATCAAATTCTGCACTGCCTGTACCAGTGTCTGAGTGACTTGGGCATTTGCATATCTGAGGGCAAGACTTAGCATGTTCTGCTGTTGGGGTTTGTGTGCCAGACTAGTCCTGAGAGTGCAGAGCTGTTATTAATGACCACTTTTTTATTCAGGTTACCTTCAGTCTTAGCTGAAGGGATCCTGGTTGAGGAACAAGAATGTCTAGTTGTGGAGCCTGTTCACCGTTGCTTTCTAATAACAATTCCTGTGCTTTGTTCCCCACCAGCTCTTTAAAAGGAGGAATGTGGAGTTGATCAATGAGGATGACTCCATGTGTGATAGTCACCTTGTGGATTCCTACGTTAGTTCCACAACATGTGGGGTAAGGTGCCTTTCCTTGTTCCAGCTGTGCCTTCAGATTGAATCCTTTGGGGGTGCTGAGGCCCTGGCACAGGTTGCCCAGAGAAGCTGTGGCTGCCCCTGGATCCCTGGAAGTGTCCAAGGCCAGGTTGGAGCAGTTGGTCTAGTGGAAGGTGTCCCTGCCCATGGAAGGGAATGGAACTGGATTATCTTTAAGGCCCCTTCCAACTGAGACCATTCTGGGATTCTGTGATGGCATGGAAGTGACAGACATCAATATTTTTGTTTTATCCCTTTTTAGAGGACTGATGTCGCTTGTGCAGCTGGAAGAGCCACAAACCCTTGGCCAGAATGCAAACAGTAAACTTATTCCCAGTGGGACACCAGTGGAGCCCTGAGCCTTGTAAAGCTCAGCCAGGGAATCACCATCCCGCTGGTTTATCGAGGGTTATTTCCAGCTGCATGTTCAAAATCCTCCTCCAGAGCCTTCCACATTTACCCCATTCCACCCAACAGCATTGCAGGTGTTACTGCAGTGAACTGGAAAAGTCTCTCAGGAAGTAAATAGTGTGCTGGGATCTCAAAGTTTTAATCTTTGACTCACCAGCTGAGCACAAATCGCGGTGGGTTGTCACGTGTGTGATGCCTTAAATATCTTAGGCTGAAATGGAACCATTTTTCTGTCTCCTCTGCATCTTTTCAGGAGGGATTGATCACAGGAGAGATGGTGGAGATGCTTTTCTCAGATGACCCTGACCTACAGCTGGCAACCACTCAGAAATTCAGGAAATTGCTCTCCAAAGGTAAAAATAACTCATCCCTGCCACGGGATCTGGCTTTTGCAAGAGTCTGTGCACGTGTTGCTGTACAGAAGCTTTGCAGCTTTGAGCTTGGGGAAAGAAAGCCATAAACTAGAAATGTGATAATTTACTGTATTGCTGAGGATTGACAGTTGTATGAACTGCACAGAAAGTGACTCTGCAGAGTTGTCCTGCTGAGTTCAGTACGACTTGGGATATTAAATTAACCCTTCATGCTTGTTACTCCCCTGCATGAGGCCTGTACACTGTTCTGACACTGCTTTGCTGTTCCAGAGCCAAATCCTCCGATAGATGAAGTGATAAACACTCAGGGAGTGGTGGAGAGATTTGTTGAATTCCTGAAAAGAAGTGAAAATTGCACATTACAGGTAAAGGAGATCATGATATTAACTCTTCATAGCTCTTTAACCTTTGCTTAGCAATGTGAACCCACACATGCTGTCAGGGAAAAGTGATGTTTTGAACCCAAAAAGTGCAGCTTGTATGATCTATAGGAGAAGACAAAGGTAGCCTGTAGTGCTTAGGCAAAAAAAAAAAGGAAATTATAAATTGCTCTGAATTAAATTCTCGAAGGAATTCTGGCAAAAATCACCCAAGAGAGTTTGGAATTCCCGTATCTGACATTTCTGCTGGGAGCTGGTGGAGCCATGGGATAAACATGCAGGAAGAAATTGTGTGAGGAGAAACCTCCATTATTGGAGGCATTTAAGTAGAGGCCAAGAGTCTGTTAGAAATGGGTTGGGCAGTGCTGCTCCTGCCCGGGGCAGAGGGATGGACTGGGTGGCTTCCTGAGATTCCTTCCAGCTTGGTAATAAGTCTGGTTGCTTTGGAGGGGTTAAAGACACTTCCATACATGGAATTTGATCTGAGTTGATGACTGCTTTCATCTCTTTTCCTGCCCTCTGGCCTCAGGCCATGGACCAGAGGGGCTTAATTTCCAGAAGAACCGAGTGGGAGTTCTGTTTTTAAACCAAAGAGAGCCAAAACCAGGGAGTTGCTGCTCAGCTTCCCTTGAACTCGAGGAGTCTTTGGGCTGGCAGATGAAACGTAGAAAACTTCCTACTTTGTGTGTTTGTGCTCTGTGTGTCTTCATTTCCCTTGCTGGGGAATGGTTGTGGAGGTGAAGTGACGTGGTGTGACTGGTGGTGACACCTTCACTCGCTCGTCCTTTGAGCAGCTGTGGCCTCTGAGAGGGTTTTTAGCAGATGTGGCTCTTCCGTTGCTCAAGAAAATAAAATCCTTCAACTGTTGAGGCATCCTCTTGTGATGTGCTTCCTTCCCCTCACAGTGAAAGAATCACAGCCAAAATGTAATGATTTTACCAAATCAGGCTTGTTTTATTGATTCTTTTGTCGCTGATTTGCCTGTTTCAGTTTGAAGCTGCGTGGGCACTGACGAATATTGCATCAGGGACTTCCCAACAAACAAAAATAGTCATTGAGGCTGGGGCAGTTCCCATATTTATAGAGCTGTTAAACTCTGACTTTGAGGATGTTCAGGAGCAGGTAAGGACCACTCCTTACTTTGGGGCTGGGGGATGAACCACAGTGGGTTGCACACCATAAAGTGCAGTGTTTAAAATGAGTGACTGGTGTCTCCCAGCTGGCTCCACACCACAGGTGGAAGTGTTGTTTGCCTGGAATTAGGGGAAGATGCTTTCTTAGCACACTGCCTTGTTCTTCCTCTGTTAGAAACTGTGAATGCTAAAACTGTTGCTGTTTCCTTTCAGGCTGTCTGGGCATTGGGGAACATTGCTGGAGACAGCTCTGTGTGTAGAGATTATGTCCTTAACTGCGCTATCCTTCCTCCCTTATTAATGTGAGTAGCCATGAACACTTGCCAGTGCAGTTCTTGGAGTCCCATTGTGCCACAGCAGCAGTATTGGAGCTGGGCCAGTAAATTCCCTTGTGGTGATCACTGGGAATCAAACCACTGGTACCAGATTAACTCCCGGTTCAGACAAGGATCTGATGGATGGAGTGGGACTCAGTGGATAACAGACCTTCTCACAGCCCTCCACACTGCTCTGCATGTGGAGGGGGTGCTGCTGCAGTGTGCTGGTCCATCTGGAGTCACAAGGTGTCCCTCAGGTCCTGCTTGGGATATGGATACCAGGGGCTTGGAGTGGGAGCAGGTCTCTATACACCCCCTCTCCCAGCGTGGTGCACACCCACCACAGTCAGACCCATCTGTCAGGCTCTCATAGCCCTGGAAAGAATTAATCTTCATCCCATCCCTGGAAAACGAATGCTTTGTCACAAATGGCTTGTTTTCCTGCTCCTGGTGTCAGTGCCCTGTCCCAGGGGGGCTGCCTGACTCCTCATCCCACAGGACTCACCATCCTCCTCAGAGCTCAGAGTCTGAGCAGTTCATGTCACCCGGTCTCTGCTGAGGGCTGGGAGTGTCTGGGCTGAACTGGAACCTGGAGCTGCACTTCACTCATGTGCCCTTCCTTCTGCAACCTGCCTAAGGTGGAAGTTGCCTTCCTGCCCCGTGTCCCTTGGCACTGTTGGGAATTACAGCTATTTATCCTAAGTGGTCTCATATCACTTCTCTTGCTCATTGAGAGGCTCAGGTGACAAACAGCATGGCTTGAGCTACACCCAGTGAAGTAGTGCTTTGACTTCCTTAAAATCATACTGGTTTTAATGCTTTTGATCCCCTTGACTTCCACATAAGGATCATAATTCCTGGTGATTCTCTCTTTAGGCTCCTTACGACGTCCACCAGGTTGACAATGACACGAAATGCTGTCTGGGCCTTGTCAAACCTGTGCAGGGGGAAGAGTCCCCCACCTGAATTTGATAAGGTGAGAATAAATGCCTTGTGGGCAGAACAGGTGGCAGGGAGACACCCAGTTAAGATGTTTGTCCGAGTTATTTTGGGCTGTTGGACTCCTCTAAGTCATTCCAGGCAGGAACAGGGTGAGCTTCTTCCTGCTGAGGTGGATCTGGTTGTTCAGATGTTTGTAATTTCCTGCCAACCTTTCTACCATCAGCTGGACCCCTCAAGTAGGACACAGGCCAAGGCTTCCCTGCAAGGTTTCTCTATCTAAAAATGGGTTTATCTAAAAAGGGTTTACCCTTTTGTTATGAACTCTCTGGAAATTTGAGACTTCACTCAAATTACCACTAAAAAGTTTTCTGAGACTTGAAATGCTACAAAGCAGGAGTCCTGTAGCCACATGGGAGCTGTGGCAGCTTTCCCTTTCCTGAGAGCCTAAGAAAAGGTCCTGCTGGCCTTTCAGGTGTCTCATCCTTCTTTGGTGGAACAAAAATGTTTTAAATCAGTGTGTTATCACTTTTCTTTAGTGAAAGCTCCCGTGCCAAAGCTGGGAAGCCTGTGGTGAGGGATGAAATCTGAACTGAGTGTAAGCAGAAACCCACTTATAAGTGATTGAGATAGAGGTGTAACTTGATGGTTGCTGCTTTGAATTATGAAGAGTCAGAAATGGAGCAGAGCTCTTCCGTAGGAATATAAGGAGCTTCCAAGGGGTGACTTGCCTCAGGAGTCTGGACTGGGTCTGGGAGGATGTAATTTGAGTGTAGCAATGAAGCTGTTGGGGTGGCTTTGGACGCTGTGATTAGGAGGTGTGGGAAGCTGCTGACTTGGGGGAAGGAACGTGTGGCCGTGCAGGAACGTGTGGCCATGCAGGAACCTGTGGCCATGCCAGGAACCTGTGGCCATGCCAGGAACCTGTGGCCATGCCAGGAACCTGTGGCCATGCAGGAACCTGTGGCCATGCAGGCCTTGTCTCAGCAGCCGGTCAGTGGTGTTGGCCTGCGGGGTGGTGGTCCTGGGCAGGGTGACTAACCCAGCTGGTGGCTGTTGTTCCAGGTGTCTCCCTGCCTGCCAGTGTTGTCCAGGTTGTTGTTCAACAGCGACTCTGACCTGCTGGCAGATGCCTGCTGGGCCCTTTCCTACCTGTCAGATGGTCCCAACGAGAAGATCCAGGCAGTGGTGGACTCGGGAGTGTGTCGGCGGCTGGTGGAGCTGTTGATGTGAGTACCTGGGGTTGCTGCCTCAGGCAGGAAGCTGAGCATGAATCCATGTTAAATCCATCAGAACATTCCACACCTCCTGTGCTCACGGGATCCAGGCACCTGGGCTGACCTGGGAGCAGTTTTGTAGGAGGATCTGGAGCAGGTTCAGAGCTGTAGTTTGCTGGTTTGTCTTCCTGGTTATACTTGACACTAGTGAAGAGATACCTGTGTTGGTCTCAACAGCAGTCCCAAAAATTGCAAATTCACTGATAAAAGAAACCTTACCCCTGTAAATTTCTGAAATTGGAGAGGATGAGTGTGGGCCAGCTACACAGAGAACTTAGGAAGAATTTACTAAGGAAAGATCAAACTCACACTTCTCGTCCATGGAGGGAGAGAGGATTCCAGGGTGTTGTGTGCTCTCAAACTTCAGATGTGCTTATGGAAGCCTGGTTGTGAGGCAAATCAAAGAACAGTGGGTAGCAAAAGTCAGCTTGGCTTTGTTTCTCCCGTTATCTATGTGGAAAAGAGGATTAAGTTGGGATATAAAGGACCAAACTGTGTTGCAGTTCTGTTTTCGGTCGCAATACGGTCAACTTACTGTGTGTTTCTACATGCCAGGGGATGGATTTCTAAGGAAATAATGCAGAGGAGATAAATGGGGAGAGAATATTCCAAATATCCCAGTGATCTGATGGATTTGCTTGTGTCCTTGCCCCGTTTCCCTGCAGGCACAATGACTACAAAGTGGCCTCCCCAGCTCTGCGGGCAGTTGGCAACATCGTGACAGGGGATGACATTCAGACCCAGGTGAGAGGAGAGGCCTTTCCTGCAGGGAATGCAGTGTCCATCAGCTCCAGACCTGGCACTGGTGATCTCACTTCTGCTTCCTCTCTCCAAAGGTGATTCTAAACTGCTCAGCCCTGCCTTGTCTCCTTCATTTGTTAAGCAGTCCCAAGGAATCCATCAGGAAAGAGGCGTGCTGGACTATATCCAACATCACAGCGGGAAACAGAGCACAAATACAGGTACTTTCTCCTCCCAGATTCCAAGCTCAGCATTAAGGCTTTGCAGCTTTTTCCTTATCTGGCATTTTAGGGGCTGGATTTGTTCACCTCATTCTGCAGTAATTTGCAAATTTGCTGCTCCCAACCATCTGCCAAGCGAGCTGAAAAAGAGCTTGGTGATGGCACCAGCACAGACCAGCCTGAAATGATTCCCACACATTGGATCATTGGAATAACAGGAGATACAGCCCTTTATTTCTCCATGCTCAGCCCCTTTGAAGCTGGTTGAGTTTTAATTATCCTTTTCCTGACCTACATAGGGAGGCAGATCAGTGCTGAAAGCATTCCCACAGTATTGATGCAATACCAGGGATGGTCTGTCCTGCTGGTTACGGAATATCTCGCGTTCGTAGGATTTGGCTGAGGAATAAACCAGAGGAATCACCGAAACTTGGGGAGGTTTTTGTGTTGGGAAATGGGGGACAGGTTTCTTCCAGGTGCTGAGAAGCCTTTCTTAGGGATGGTGTTGCCAGTGCCAACCCCTGTCCCTGCCCTCTCTCCCCAGGCAGTGATAGATGCCAACATTTTCCCGGTGCTGATAGAAATCCTGCAGAAGGCGGAATTCCGCACGAGGAAAGAGGCAGCCTGGGCCATCACCAACGCCACCTCAGGAGGGACTCCTGAGCAGATCAGGTATCCCCTGTGGCTCCTCCTGGGGGAAATCCCTGGGAGCTTTGCCTTGATGGGAACTGCAGGGCACAGTCCAAGCTTTCTGCATGGATAGTTTTAGACAAGGCTAAATGTCCAAACTTGATGACAGATTAAATTCCAGTGTGGACTTAGCAGCACCTGAACTTTAAAAATAGCTTTTTTGTTTTCTTTTTAAATAAAAGGGAGGTTTCTGAAAACAGGGGCTGTGTATACAAGTGCAAATAAGTGGATAAAAATTAACCTTGCAGAGCAGTAAATACGTATTTTAAGGTAAATTTATGTGTTTTAGATTGACTCGTTTCCTTTGCTCTTTCTGACGGAGCCAAGGTGCTGCTTCCCAGCCCCTGAACACCAAGTGTGTGTTGCTGGTGCTCTCTCTCCAGGTACCTGGTAAATTTAGGTTGTATCAAGCCTCTGTGTGACCTGCTGACTGTCATGGACTCCAAGATTGTTCTGGTGGCATTGAATGGGCTGGAGAACATCCTGAGGCTGGGAGAGCAGGAAGCCAACCAGAGTGGCACTGGGATCAACCCCTACTGCAGCCTGATCGAGGAGGCCTATGGTAGGTGGGGGCTTTGGGCACTGCAGGAGGCACTGAGAGGGTCTGTTGGGTGCTTTCCTGCTGTGTTAAGGGGTTTAGTATGTTCCAAAACGGCCAATATTTGTTCCAAAGTCTCTTCAGACTCGTGATTGGGTGAGGAGAAAATACTTGGAAGTAAAAACTATCAGAATTCTGATCCAGGCTTCCAAGACCTGGAGGCCAAGCTGATTAGTCGTGGCTTTCACCAGCTGGGAGTGTTTACTCAGCTCAGCTCATTTCTGGTTAAAAGTGACAATTCTGGGCCTAAAGTTGCTCAAACTGTGCCCACTTGAACACTGGAAGTCCAGGAAGAGTTTGCTTTTCCCTGGAGCAACTTAATTTGGTGATGGTGGTTTTTTTTTTTTGTCCTTCTCTCAGTGTTTTGAGGAGCAAGTTCCTATTTTGGTCTGGAACTCCCTGTGTACTGCCAGTGTCTGCTTTGCCCTCTGATTATTACACTCTGTGTCCTGATTCTCCCTGTAAGAACAATTCCTGGAATTCTTGGATGTGCAGCAGGGGATTGAATTAGGGCAGCTAAAAGCTGGAGGCTGCAGACCCTGCTCCTTCCCCTCCCTACCCCCTGCAGCTCCCAAATTCCTCACAGCCAGTTGTGGAGGCTAAATCAGATTCCAGTCAAATTAAAACATCTGTATGAGCTGGAAAGACATTAATGCTGCCTGGCAGGGGTGAGATCCTTGAGAAGCTCTGGAATAGCTGCATTTAGGTCTGGATTTAGGTG